AAGGTCACATGACTGGCAAGTGGGGCTGACTGCCGCTCCCCAGCACCCACAGGAACCGCTCGTGGCTTGGACCCGATCATCCAAGTCCAGGCCACACTGACGGCAGCTCGGTCTCCACTGCTGCTAGAATTCTCATGACCTCTCACCTATCTCCTTTCCTGGTCCATCTCCACTCACCAGTCAGAAGAATCCTTCTGAGATCTAAGTTAGATCATGCCCCCCATCTCCTCAGAATCCCTTAGTGGCTCTTCAAAAAGTCAAAACCCTTGAAATGGCCTGAGAAGCCCTACGTGGTCTGTGCTGCTTCCCCCACCCCTAGCTACCTCTCTGCTCTCACCTCCTACCACCTTGCCCTCCACTATTCTCCACCCCAGCCACAAACCTCCCTGCCATGCCTTGAGCATTCTCCCACCCCAGGGCCTTTGCACTGTCTAGGCTTTTGCCCTAACTACTACCCCTCAGGTACCCATGTCACTTCCTTGCTTCTCTCTAACAGGACATTCCTATATATACACAGTTCATCACCCTGGTGGACTGCAAACTCCTCGAGGACAGAAAGACCCATCCCTATAACCACAACACCCAACACAGCACCTGGACTACAGCTGCTGGCACTCGGTAAGGTCAGCGAAGTCTCTGGTCTCCAAATAAGCCATGCTCCGTCCTGCTGTCCCACCTTTGCCCAAGTGCTGTCCCTTGATCACCGAAGTTGCCTGTTCTCTGCCCCCAACCAGCCAAAATTGCTCCTCTTCCCAGATAATGTCCCCTGATTTGAGGCTGCAGAGAGCCTTCTGTCCTGACCCACCACTCATCCACGCACGTGTGAGCTTGAGCATTCAACCAGCATGGGGGGCGGGGGGACAACCCTGCGACTAGTGCAGGCCTGGCAGCAAGGTCTTCCCTCTCAAGGTGTTGGGACACAGATCACAGCCAAGAACACCCAAAAGATAGAATGTGGTCAGTAATGCACATGGTGATAGGAGGGGGCAGCTAAACACTGGAGAATCAGGGCTTCTCTGAGGTCACAATTAAGCCGAAAATGTTAAGAAGGGGCAGCTGTGTGAAACATCAGGGGAACGGCATTCTGGGCGGCAGAACAGCCAAGTGCAAGGCTGGGTGGAGAGAACAAGCTTGTTGTGTTTAAGGAACGGAAGGTGAGAGGCAGGACGGTGCAGAGGGTGGGGTAGGAATGTGGGGCTGGGTAGGCAGAAAAGGGTAGAGCCTGGGGCGGGACAGCAGGCAAGGGGCTAAAGCACACAGGGCTTGTGAGCCGGATTAAAGAGCTTATTCTGCATAGGATGGGGCAATTTAAGCAGAAAAGCACATGATTTGAAACTTGAAGAGCTCACTCTAGCTGTGGTGTGGAGAACAATGTGGAGGGGCAGGGGTGGGAGCAGACAGATCAGAAGAAAGCTGAGGTCTTCCTGAAGAGAAGGGAGCTTCCAACATGGTATGATGGTGGAGGTTGGGTTGGCAGGGGAGAGAAAGGAAGGGGTCAAGGGCCCCTTCTCGATGCTGGGCCAGGGCAAGGGCATGGATGGTGGGTGGGATGGGGAAGATGTGGGGAGGAGCTGGTTCAGTGCAGGGAAGGAGCGAGCAGAGAAGTCTGAGGCTATACTGCCTTCCAGTTTCAAGGTCACTGGTCCTGCCACTTCCAAGAAGCTGTAAGCCGCCTGAGAACTTTCTTGCTATCGACTCCACCTTCCCCGGGCCTGGCTTCAAGTCTTAGATCTATGCTCAAGAAGAGACACCTCGGAGGAGGAGACCTGGGGCTTTGGGGACTAATATGTGAAAAGTGATGACCAGGGAACAGCACCCATGTTCTCTGAGTGACTCTGGGAAGCTCCGTGAAATTCATTACGGAGCAGGCTGAACATGGAGCCCTAAACATGGACTCAGATCCTTACTTTGCCACGGACTGGGGGCAGCCAACTTCTCAGAGCCTCAGTGTCTCATCAGCAAAATGGGAATCCCATCACTCATATGCAATGAGCCTCTGGACAGCAAATAAGAAAACATACATGAAGTTGCCAGCCTCTAGGGGATGATCAATAAATAATAGGGGCTGGCACTTTGGGAGAGCTTTCTAGGCTACAGGCAGTGTTCTAAACATGTTCACAGAGATTAGTTTGTACAATCTTCATGATAACCACATGAGGTGTGTATTAGTCAGTGTTCTCCAGAGAAACAGAACAGAATGTGTATATATAGAGAAAGAGACTTATTTTAAGGAACTGGCACACGTGATTATGAGGGCTTGGTGAGCCCAAATCTGATGGGGTAGGATAGGATGGTAGGCTGCAGACTTTGGTGCAGTTCAAGTCCAAAGGGAGTCTGGTAGCTTGATTCATTCTTTTGGGGGGAGGTCAGCCTTTGTTCTATTAAGGTCTTCAACCGATCAGAGGCCAACCCATATTATGGAAGGTAATTTTTTTTTTTAATTTCTTTTCAGCGTAACAGTATTCATTGTTTTTGCACCACACCCAGTGCTCCATGCAATCGTGCCCTCTCTAGTACCCACCACCCGGTTCCCCCAACCTCCCACTCCCCACCCCTTCAAAACCCTCAGATTGTTTTTCAGAGTTATGGAAGGTAATTTCTTTGACTCCAAGTCCAGCAGATGTCCATCTCATCCAAAAACTACCTTGACAGAAACATCCAGAATAATGCTTCACCAAATATCTAAATAGTATGGCCCACCACTGACGCATAAAATTAGTCACTACAGGTGGGTATGGATACTGTCCCCAATTTACAGAGGAGCGAACAGGCACAGAGAGGGTAAGAAATCTGCCCAAGTTCCCAGAGGAGGAATAGCAAGGCTTGACATTCCTGCTGTCTGGCTCCAGAACTTGCACTTTTAACCATGACACTAAGTGGCCATCATCATAAGCCAATGTAAATTAAATTTCTCTCTCCATCCTTTTCCTGGCCTGAGAGTAGAAGGCAGAGAAACCAGGGGAGGCCCTCCCTGGGTAAAGCAGCCTGGGTGGAGCCCTGCCTTATTTAGGAAGCAGCACAGAACCTGAGCCTCGGAGATGGGGGTGGGGGGAGATGGACGGTAGGGGGACCTGAGAGGTTATCTGGTCCCTTGACTTTCTAGAGGGGAAACTGAGGCCCAGAGTAGAGAAGGGACTCACCCAAGGTCCCAGGGCTTCAGAAAATACTGATGATTTCCAACTTATACTTGAGTTATTATGTCCTAGGGGCTACCCTACATGAAGTCCTTTAAACAGCTACATGTGAGGTAGATAATATGTAGAAAATGAGGAAACTGAGGCAGAGTTTAGAAACTTGTCTAAGGTCATGCAGAGCAGAATCTGAGCCCAGGCACAGCTAGTACACTAGACCTCTGAGGCCCAGGCAAGGCTCTTGGGTGAGGGTGGGAGGTGCTGAGACAGAACACAATCCCAAACCTGCCCCTCCTTCCCAGTTCTCCCTGCCCCACCCCCAGCTCTGACTGCAAGTAACAGGGCCCATATGCAATATACAATTCCTCAGGTTCCTAATGCACCCTCTTCCTTCTGTTCAAGCAGGAAATATCCTTCTGCACCAGTGGGTGGGCAGACCTGAGACTCCCCCACCCCGCCCAGCTCATAGGCACATGCACACTCATCTCTTTCCACACTAGACACCTCCCAAACAGGGACACAAACACGCATGAACACAGACTCTAACCAGATACATCCTAACACAGTGGCACACACACTCAACACCCGAGCGCCCTAAGGAGTTAACATACGCTCACGGCATACAACCGGGAAGACCCACACATGTCCACACACAGCCCCACCTACACACATGCAACCCCCCCACAACCCGTACATAAACCAGGGTACAACCTTCCTGGTCCCAAGAAACATATCAGCAAGCACTTGCACACACAAAACATACCAAGCCATACTCAGAAACACACATGACATACAACTCCATGTATCCCAACTCACATTCTATCCCTCATATATGGGCGCACACACCTCTGTGGATCTGTAGGTAAAGGCACTTGAACGGGTATCTTCCCAGGGGACTGACAGCTGGAGCCACGTGTTAATACATACTCCCACATCCCCGAGTGCCAGAACCCCCAGATGGCTGCTGGTCCCCAAACTCACCACCCCCATAAATACGGGCAACACATATGTCAACACAGATCGCTCAGTCTGCCACCTCCCCCCTGCCGCCCCCACCCCCGCCCCCCCGGCCCCGCCGCCAGACACACAGTCCTAACTCGTAGGGACCACCCTTCCCCAATGACCTATGCGTCACCCAGGCATGTGCAGAACCCCGCCTCCCCCACCCGGAGAGAATCCTTCTCTGACCCCAGCACACAGCGTCGGAGGACTCGCCCCGCCTCTCTCCCTGTCCCCATCCCCTTCGCAAACTCCCGGCGGACCCCGGCACCTGTCAGGCCAATGCCAGGGCGGGTACCCCCCTCCCATCCCGGCCTCTGCTGGGATTACCATACAGCCCCCACCTCCGCAGCAATGAGAAAGCGCTTAGAGGTGGGGGAAAAGGAGAAGGTTTGCGTTGCAGGCGTTAAAAACTCACAGCCACTCAAGTAGGACCCCCTTTTCGGTCCAGGATCTCACCTTCGCACGGGGAAAACCCTGCGTCTCTGTTAACCCCCTCATCACCGCCGCACCACCGGAAGGACCCAAGAAGTCACAGCAGTGCCCAGTAATAAGGCACAGCAGCCCGTGGGGGGTGGGAGCAGGAGCCGGCCGCCAGGGTTGCGGGGGGGCCCTTCATAAGATACCCCCACATCCTCCCATGCATCCACCCGCATTCCCACGGGGAGAGCCTGAGGGGCTCCGTGGGAGAAGGGGAAGGTGAGAGTACCAGAGAGCTTAGGGGCCATGGGCTGGAGAGGGGGCCACCTGAAGGGAACACTGGGCGGCCGGCAAGGACAAGCCCCCCTTAAGTCCTCTGCAGGATCCGAGAGGCGCGAGCCCCAAGCGGGAGGGGAGGTTGGAAGGAAAAACGCCCGGAGGCTCCCTTACCTGATTTCCTCTTGGAACTGCCATAATCCCTGAAAAAGAAGCAACAACAGATAGACATGGTTAGGGCCGGGTAGGGCGCGGGGCTGCGGCTGCGGGGAGCCCACCGGCCGGCTGCGGTCGGTCCCCGGCACCACCGCTCATGTGATCCCAAGCGGCCCGCGAGCCGCGCGCTCCGCAGCCGCACGCACTGCGCGCCGCGCCTGCCCGCGGGTCCCCCCGCCAGCCCAACCCCGGGCGCGAGCCTTGGGCCCCGCCCCGCCCGCACCCCTGACCCCGCCCCGCCCCCGGCCGGCCAGACAAGAGGATCTGGAGGGGGGAGGGGGCGGGGGATACCTTCCCGGTCCTCAGCGGGTGGGGGAGGGCGGGGCAGGTTCTCACACTTTGTAAATAGGGAAACTGAGGCCCGGGGCGCCCGCGCCCCTCCCCTGCAGCGCTTCCCCTCCCAATTCTTTGCACCGCTTGCTCATGCCCACTCAGATTTCCAGTCACGACTGAAATGTCACCTCCTCAGCGTGTCTTCCCCAACATCCTCCCCATCTCCTCCTCTCCTCTGCATAATTACAGATTTGTGTGACCCTTTGATGAAAGTCTGCCCCTGCCCTGGACCCAAGGCTCTCTGAGGTCACACTGTGTATTGACTCCTCCTATTACTTCCCCTGGGCCTGGTGTAGGTGTGGAGATATACCGACTGCAGGCTGAATATTGAACAGATGTGGCTTTCACCTTAAAGGCTCGGGCTGGGAAACTGGAGGTTCAGCAAGCCGTGAGGGAGGGCACAGCACAATTCGAGGGTAACTGTGAGGCTAGGAATAGTAAGAATGGAGCTTGAGCTTCTGAGGGAGAACTGGGTTCAAATCTCGTCAATGGCAATAATTCAACACCTCCGAGCCTCCTTTAAGCTGCCCTGGACTAAGCCCGGCTGGGGCCTCCCCATCCCTCCAGCAAGGAATTAACCCAGGCTCGGGATCAGGCTACTTCCCAAACCCCGCCCTTGTTCCTGCCTTTAGCCCCTCCCACCACCGCTGCCTTTCGCGAATCATTCCAGGAGCGTCACAGGCCTCTGAAATGCTTAAGGTTCCTTGAGTGCTCAGGAGAGGCTGGCTGGAAATCTATCTGGAGACTAGAGGAAATGCCTTTATTTTCCCTGGGGGGATCAAAGAAAATGCCAATTGCCGGACTTTGGTGTAAGCGAACTGGTCAGCTAGGTCTGCCAGCTGGAAAGAAGTGATTTCGTGGGGGAAGGAACAGCAGGTTCATAAGAAAGGCCGTTAAACTCATGCAGACTCCCTGATTCTGGAGGTCTGGGGGGTAGCCTGAGCTTTTGGGGAGTTAAGCACCAAAGCGATTTGCTTGCACAGCCCAGGGTGAGGGGTTCCGCCTCTCCTAGGCTCCTGAGTTTTCTAGTTTGGGCTCAGACCCCCAGTGATTCAGAAAGGGGCTGAGGCCCAGGAACCGCATTTCTGATACCTTCCCCCTACCTGCCCATCTTAGTTTGAGAACTCCCCTAGTACTCCATGCTTCTTTCAGACCTCACATCCACACTAAGAGGAAGGTCCTATCACTCCCATTTTACAGATGAAGAAACAGAGGGTGAGCCACTGCCCAAGACCATCCAACTTGGGAAAGAGCAGTGGTGTATACACCCACCTGCAAGAACGGAAACGGCAGGGTCCATGGGCTGGAGGTGGACCTGGTAAATCTGCTGCGTTCGAAAGGAGTTAGGAAGGTGGGGAGTTCCCATCTGTTCCCCAAGCCTGACCTGGCAGGGCAGGCAAGCTCGTGTCCCTAGGACGGAAGGGAAGAGCAGGACAGACTATCCTGGAGTGCCTGGAGCTCAGCTGCAGGGAGAATTCTCCGTGGAGAGGAGAGTGTTAGTTGGTGGCTATGTCCTGCCCAGCCGACTTGCCACTCCTGGGGAGGAATTGATTCTCAGGCTTTTTTGCAGAGTGAGAGAGGCCTGGGAAAGGAGCTGTGTTCCTGCCGTTCCTGCAGGAGAAGCCCTCAGGGGCCTAGGAACACAAGGGCCCGCTGACCATCCACAGGCTGCCCAAGGTCCTGGTGGGGACGGCTTCCTCTCAGTGCCATAGCCACCTTCCTCCTCTCTCGTTTGTGCAGCTGCCGGCTCCCCAGGATTCGCTTTCAGCTTGTCAACAGCACCAAGAAGGGAGACAGGCAGGTCATTATCGGGTGACAGGGGGGCACACTGAGGACTGGAAGCAGGAGAGGGACATAATTCCCAGGTGCCGAGTACCTCCTCTGTGACGTGCCCAGGTCAGCCATAGTCAGCTCGGTTATTCAATAAGCTTATCTGGGGAGCTGGTTACAAATTCAGATGTGGAGCCCCCCTAGCTCCCCCACCTCCAACCACACTGTCTGCATCTCTGACAAGTGTTGGCTGAGAACTCCACCCCTTCCCTACAGGCAGGAGGGGTACCGGGCAGCACTATACCATTGTCACCATCAGGACCCAAGCCACCACTAAGAAACTTTTCTGCTTAGTAAGAATGATGTGCTTGCAGTGCCAGAGAATCTTCCAGACAGATCCCCTGGCCAGCCCTTCCTTTAACCAAAGTATAAGCCCCTCCCACCTGGACCCCACTTTAGGAGGTGATGAGGTGGGCAAAGCTTAGAGAAGCTGACAACTTGTTCAAGGTCATACGATGAGCAGGGGTGAGGCTGGGATTGGGCACTGAGAACCCAGGCCTTCCTCCGGTGCTCAAATCCTCAAACACGGCCACCCTAGAGCTATGGGTGCAAGGAAGGGAGGGGAACAGCAGGTCTGTGGGGGTCTGAGAAGCACCTGGGTCAATGGAGGGGAGGCTCCCTGGCAGTAGGGGTGGCCGGGCTGTGACTGACTGGTGGGAGAGGCCAATACAGGAATGCCTCACAGGGCACCTGGCCTCCAGCCCAAGCAGGCATGGCCCTAATAGGAAACCTCTTGCAGGTTTCTGGTTGGGCACTTTTGAGCAAAGGCGTTTTGTATTTTCAGCCACTGAGTATGCTAGGCACTCCCTGATCCCTCACATATCAGGCATGGTGAGGGAAGGCAGGGGGTGCCCACCTCCAGCTGCCCTAGGCAGGACTGCAGGCCCCTCTGCTGGGGTTCAGCACCCTAGCAACTCAAGATCCCTTCCCACACTCCACCATTCCCCGGCACCCCCCCTCACCCCCAGGCTCCAATTCTTGCCCCCAGCTGGTGCTGATTGCCCCCACCCTGCCGGGGATTCTACCCAGGCACGTCCCAGTCTAGCTCCCTCCCAACCTGCTGCTGAATCACTATATGCCGGGGAGCCACAGGAAGCAGAAGGGGAGGGGAAGGCCCGTCTCCCTCCAGTGCCGTCAGAAGCTAATGTAATTGCAAAGGCTTCCAGGCTGTATCCTGACTCAGTTCCATCAGCCTTCTCCTCAGCTGGTACTGAGGATGACTAAGACCCCAGGTACAGTGACCGGGCCATGCTAGCAGACTGGGACAGCTGGCCAGCCCCTGATCCATGGGTCTGGCCTGCTTGGGGAGAGCGGTGCAGAGTTCCTTCAGCACAGCACCATGCCCCTCCCTCATCTCAACAGGGACTCCTGAGGCCTCCCCCGCCCCTCCCCCACAATCTCGGGATATAAACAGTTCATCTCCTGGCCCTGCTTCTAGGAACAGGGACAGGTTCCAGAAGCAGACAGAGCCCAGTTCAACCCTCTGCTACGTGCTAACTGGTTGGCCATCTTGAGCCTCTGTTTCTCTATCTGTAGAATGGGGATAATAACAGTACCTTAAGATTCAGGGAAGATGAAATGTACAGTATGCATAAAAAGGCTTAGCATAGTGCCCCGGCCCAGAAAATACCATATAAATTGTCTTTGTTATCTTTCACATCTGGAACTGACCCCACCTCAGTTGCTACCCAATTGACAAAGGCTTGTTTAAACTTGGACCTCACCTTGATGCTGGCAGCATAGTACCCAGCAGGGGCTACTCCAACCCCGTTTGCAGAGTTTTGGGCTTTCACAGACACAAAACAAGCACTACTCTCTTCTGAGCATGCCCCCCCACCCCCAGAAAGACCCCGTTCCCCATGCACTGAACATCTGAACAGGGCCCATCTGGCCACAGTCTTATTTTCAGGGAGACACTGACCCCTAGGAATCGGCATGCCTGGACTCACTTATCGGGTGCCTTTAACCTTCCAGAGTGGCTTACTCCCTGAGCCCCAAGCCACAAGGCATAAAGGTCCTGCATTTTCATGCTATGGCTGAAGGGGGGCAGTCAAGCTTCATTTCCTCCCCCTTTCCCCCGACTTTAATTTCTCTTGGTAAGGTCTGCTGCTTCCTCCGACAACCTTCTAGTTAAGAGGATGGGCTGGAGACAGCAAAGGGCACAAGGCTGGAGCAGGGAGCGGGGGAGGCAATTAACAATTCCTACCTACTGGTCACCTGTCTTTGCACAAGCCTTCCACTCCTGCCCTCCCCTGAGAGTTCCCGGCATGCAAGGGACCATCGGTGCCCTGAAAGAGGCAGGGGTGGTGGGTTTATGAATAGGAAGACTGAGCTCCTGAGGCCTTCTGAGTTTTGCCCAGCCTCCCCAAGCTGCAGTGACATTCCTGGTGGGGTACTTCCCACCCTGAGGCCCACTGGGGAGCGGGCTACAAGAAGGGGATGCTTGAGCAGTAGGCGAAGGCTCTTGCTGGGGGAAAGGAGGCAGCCACCCCGCCCATCAGGGTCCCGGGGTGGGAGGCAAAGCCTGGGAGAGCCACTGAGCGTCTGGCCAGGCCAGCTCTGCAGAAGGACGCAGAGTCCCTGCCAGGTGGAACTGAGTCCTCTGCTGCCTGCCACCACCTCTCCCTCCCGTTCTTGCTCCCATTAGAGAGTGCCCTGGCAAGGAGGACGTGCACGCAGGAACTTCAAGCCTGATGTTCTCACCCTCCTGTCTGCTGGCTGACATTGGTCGCCTGTCTGCAGGGCCTGCTGCTGCTTGGAACTGCTTGAGAGGCCTGCTGGCTGGCCAGATGGCTGGCTCTGGGTGACCTTGAGAGCCCAGAGG